CACTATTTGTCACTGCCCCTTCATTCTACTTATTTACTCTCTTGAAATGTAACTGTTTAGCCCTTTTGATTCCAAAGGATGTTATGAACACAATTTTCCTCTGTTACACGCTTCTAAGACCTTTTAGCATAAGTCTTCATAAAACCTCACATATGTGCATTATAAAATTACAGGGAATAAGTTCCATATGAAAAATACATCATATTTCTTCTTACTATTTTTTAGCAGAGATTTTGACGTTAAGCATGAGAGTAACAGACATTGTTTTAATTCTTCATTGTGGAAAAAAAAAATAAAAAGCAACTTTTTTGCTTTGGGTTGAGAAAGAATTTTTTACATTCTCCCTCTTTGCAATCTTTCCCTTACAAAACCAAAAAAGGATTTTAGACAGAGAAAAAGTAACCACAATTATATGCAGTGTGTCATTGATAAATTCCAGGGGAATATAACAAGCTAGGTAGGCACATACCATTAGATCTAGCTGTTCTAACTGTTAAAGCTCTGGCCAAGATTATGCTGGAATATTTGGCCACATCAGCCCTCAGGACTGCACTTAACTTTTAAAAGACTTGATCTCACTCTAGATTTAGACTGTAGGAAAGTGCCTCTTTCAAAAGAGCATTCACGCAGCAGTCTGTGTTTAAACACATGCTTAAGTCCCTTGAAGTCACTAAAAACAGAGCAACTGCAAACAGGCACTAGTCTTTCATTTCATGACAGCCTTAGTTTTGTATAATTTTCAGCTAATCCTAGGCCTTCTATTCCCAGTGCATTTAGACCTGAGTTATGCTGACGCAAAATGAGATCAGAGAAATGGCTGCAGCGTCTTCAGGATTTTTAGCAGGAGACAATCCAGGAAAATGGATAACTTCCCTCCTCCCTTTCAGAAAAAAAATAAATAACAAAACATCAACAAGGAAATCTGTATATTATTGGGTATACTCACAGGTTACAGGACTTTTTAGTCTTTCTCTTGCATCACATCTGCTTCCAGCAAGGCTCCTGATTCACTGACCAGCTAGATTGGAAACTGTTTAATTTGGGATATTTATTTAGCTTTTAGACTGACCACATCAAAAGGAAAAACTCACATGACTCTGTGTTTACAGTAACACAGCAAGGAAAAAAATGCATAGATGTACAAAAAGGGTGTGCATTACTGAAAGCTGAGTAACGTATATAGTGCGAATCCACGCAGTGCAGAATGTCCTCATGAGTTACAGGTCTCCATGTACACAGAAGCTCTACAGCAGAAATTTATCTTTAGCCACATGTACCCTGAACCAATTCAGGATTCCCCCTGCAAATTAAGGCTGCAGATAAATGTCTGTTGTGTACTGCACTCAGTCCAACCAGTAAAGCTGACTGTTGATAAACTGTTAGGTACCAGTAGAGCTCTGAACCTTAATCGTATTTTCCAGTTACGCTGTAGGGAAGGGCAATGATTTAGTTAAGGCCAGTATAATGTTCTAATCCTGAATACCACACCCACAACTCTGATAGTCAAGTTGAGTCAATGATTCAACCCAGATGGGAATCCAGGTTCTTCTTGGCTAACTGTTATCTGTTCTGTCCATTAGGCTATATGACTTCCATAAATTATTTTGGAGTTCCCGTTAAAAGAAAATAAATCCACATGATGCTAAATGCTGCCTCCCAGCTGTAATGCAAACTGGAATTTTGGAGTGCAATACTGCTCTCTGACTCATCCTGGATTCACTCCATATGACGTTGACTCCATTTAAGCTGGAGAGAGTCAAAAATAAGGGCTTTTTTTTTTTCTTTTCTCTCTCTCTTTTTTTTTTTTTTTTAATCACCCACTGTCAGATAACACATGGATGTCCACACAGCATGCCTCTAGGTTGTGAAAAATAACAATGCCAAAGAGGTGCCTTCTGAATAGACAGGGGAAGATAAAAGGGCTAAAGATTTATATAGAGATAATTTAAGCACTGACTCATTGCCATTGTTTAGCTTATGAAATACATGAAACCCAGACAGAAATATTGGGGCAGGGGGGGAGATTGTTACATGTGACAGAGAGGCAGCACTATAAAAAAGATATAAATAGCACACCCATAGAGAAAAAAATTGCTTCACACATAGCTTAAATACAGCCACCATGCTCTATGTCTCTCCGGTATTGCTCTGCTCTGAGCATCTCTGTTGCTTGTTTGCAGCTGGAGAAAGTCCAGAAGGCAAGGAAAGCAAAGACATCACACATTCACTGCACCAATTTAAGGACACTCGGGTTGCACCTTAAGCATTTTCCCCAGGTTAAGAAGACAATGGGCCAAATATAGTCCTGGCTGTCCCACAGGCTGCCCTGCCAGGAGAGTGCGGTGGGAAAGCCTGCTTAACTAGCAGTGAAGGATTCCCTCGTGTAGGAAACCTCAAAGACTACAGAGGTGGCTCGGTGGCCAATTCCAGCATTAGGGGTTTTAGCCAAAGACATGCTGGTATGTGCTGGGAATTCAGCTGATTCCCAGCTGATGAATCAGCCCCTCCAAAGCCATAGGTAACCAGTATGTCTACACTGTAGCGCTAAATGGTGAAGAAACATCTAAGATTTCAAATTTCTATAGCAGCAAAATGAAAAGAGAAACTGCAAAACAAGGATTCAAAAAGAATCCAGAAATATATAATTATTTTTACCACCTTAGGCTGACAGCATTCTTACAGAGCAACTCTGCAAGATTATGACTTTCTGCAGAATAAACCATAAAGATTCTGACTTTGTAGAGCAGTTACACCTCTACTTGTTGTGTGATGGAACAGGGAAGGAGATGCTCAGTGTACCACTACTGACAGGACCAAAGTAGGGATAGGATTTGCTGAGATTGCTTCAGCTTTGGCTTGGCTTTTTATAAAAGTGCTGATTTGCTTAATTATCAGTATTGAATCTCTGTAATAATGATTCATCATCCTCAAACACTTTAAAGGACTTTTTCCCCATGAACAACATCAATTCCCATTTAATATTCTAGCTTGATTAAAATATATATATATTTTTTCCTAGGGACTCTTTTCATTTAATTCAATTAATTCAATCTAAATAGATTTGCAAGGGTGCAGTAAAACTTGCATAATGAACATAGTGAAAATATCAACCTTCTCAAAAAAAAAAAAAAAAAAAAAAGAGCAAAAAAGGAGGAAAAAAAAAAAAAGAGAGAAGTAGGATGAGATCAGAGCTGCTATGAAGAGTGTTTTGCTCTGCTGACAGCACAGCAGCTGGAGAGAAGCAAGTGAGTGTTGGTACTGGAGAATGGCCTCCAACACAGGTATTGCTCTTCAAGGGACTCTGACTGCAGCAACCCACCAAGCCAACTATATCTTTCTGATATTTACTCATTTTATTCAGAACTACTGAATACTTCTCTTTTCCTGAGATTATTGTCCTGAGAGCATCTTATTTCGGTTCTTGTAACCACAGACATATGGCAGAGGGTACTGGTGAAGATTCTATTTCCATTTCTGGTTAAAGCATGCCATGTGCAGAGCCCTCATATCAACTGCGGGAGAACTCTGCCTGATGTGGAGCACATTTCTATGCTTCAGCACCTAATGGGGAGTCCCTTCTGTTCACCTAACTGAGAACCCCCATTGGACTGATCCAGTGGTAAGAAGAGGGAAAGTAAATTTAGTTCCTGGATCTCAGACTAGTCTGGATTTTGAAGCCAAAATAAAGTTCAAATAGAAGTGAAGCCAAGTTACTCTGCCTGATCAAGGCTGAAATGCTTCTATATATGAAGCATCTCAGAGCAGGATGTGTCTTGGAAATTTTAAGAAAGAATGACACCTGCAGAATTTGGATACCTATGTCCGGCAGCAGGTTGATAATTACAGTTTAGAATACTCAAATTCCTCCTGAGAAAGATATTTAGACATCCAACTTTTACTAAATTAGGAAAGATTTTGGCTATTACAACCTTTGCAGGAGATGACGACAAGTGCCTTTCAGGATCAGGCCCATAATAAGCTAATTAAAAGGCAGGTGAAAATCACATCAACTATACTAATGAGGGCTTTGAAAACAGTAGCAAAATATTATGCCATATCATATACCAGTGGCTAACAGCAAAATCAACTCACTTTAACCTACTGTCTAGATCTACACCTTAGTAGGAAAAAAAGCAAAAGCAGCATACTAAAAGCTTGCAAAAGTTGTAGCCCGCATCTTTATGGCCTCTGCCAGAGCCACAGATGCAGGGTAGAGTTGCTGCTTTCTCTGCACGGTATTTTCTGCTCATGGTCAGACTGCCCCATCGATCCCTATTGTTCTTGCACAAGTTTTCCCATTTCGAAGCAAAATGAAGTGTTTTCTAAGGAAACATAGTTGACTGCCTTGTGCTTCCTCAGTACACAGCCACCAGTTACCTAACACTCGGGAATGACTCCTCTCTAGAAGCAACAACTTTCGTTTCGTAATGCTGCAAAACGAGGAGCTTTACCACCCTCTGTGTTATTGCACAAAGCAAAGGAGGGGCAGTCAGTGCCCAAAGAAAAACAGTGTCGTTCCACTGAGCAGCCCAGCCCATCAGGTGCTCTATTGCTCCAAGTGATGGACAAGTCCGGCAGAGCTGCACTCATGGCAGTGCCGGAGGACTATGTGGGATAGAAGGAATTTTGCCACCACTCAGCACGCAACAGTTTCCCTGATGGATGCAGGCTAACTTTGTTCGTCGCATCACCCTGAGACACCTATGCAAAGCAGGAACAGACGCATAGGTGCCGGTGCTGCGGGATCAAACCTCTGTCCCACCACATCACATCCTTTAACCCCCAAACTCCAACTCCTTCTCCCGGACCCCTCAGCCCCACCCTGCCCAGGGCAGAACGGAGGAACTGCCCGCGAGCAGCGCCCCTCAGCCCGGCTCCCACCGCCTCTCTGATAGCCGGGCAGGTGGCCCACGACCGCCGCCAGGTGCCAGGCGTCCCGAGCCGGGCGGAGTCTCCGGGATTAGCAAGAAGAAGGGGATCTCATGCACTTTTTCCCCTACCTGCACCTTTCTATGCGAGGAAAAGTGCTGCGGGGCGCGGCGCGGAGCGGTGGGGCTGCGTGGTACCTGCGGAGAGCGGAACGGCAGCGCGGTGCGGGCTGAGCGCGGTGCGGGGCCGGGGCCGGTGCCGGGATCGGGACTGGGAGGCGTTGCGAGCCGGACGGGCTCCTCCCCGGCGGCGGCGGCGGCGGCGGAGGGTCTCGCTCCTTCTGCGCGAAGTGTCAGACTTTCCCCTGGCTTCCCTTCCTCCATCCCCGCCACCCCTTTCCACACCCTCGCACGCACATGCACACCCCTCCAGCAAATGGGCTGCTCGCGCGTGTGTGTGTGCGTGTGTCTGCCAGCCCAGGCGCACACCCACTGTTGCTGCTCTCGGAGTCTGTCCCAGCCGCGGCCACCGCGAAGCAATTGCTCCATCGAGCAGCACAGTGCACACGCATATGGTTTGCAGCAGCAGCACGCTGCGAACGGGTATACAGGGACCGTGCACTCACAACACTTTCCCTTCGACCGCAGAACTCCCTTGTGTTCATAGAGTCAGAGACCTCTGGGTTGGCACAGGAGTATCTCACCCTGATATTGTGATCGTCCTGCACAGATGCTGATCCAGATCATAACATCTAAAGGTCCTCGCACATTATTCCCATGGCACTCTGCTGCTAGAGCTGAAATGCAGTTTGTTGAGTGGCAGATGGAATGGAGAAAAAGAAAAAAAGAAAAAAAAAAAAAAAAAAAAAGAGCTCAGCACACTTTCTGATAAGGAGAAAACAGCTGGGCAGCAAGCAGGCATAGGGCTATAGGAGCTGGTGCATGTTTAAGAAAATCATAGAATTATTAAGGCATTAAGAATGGAAAAGACCTCTAAGATCACCTGGTCCAACCGTCCACCTACCACCAATGCTGCCCACAAAACCACATCCCTCTATGCTGCATCTACACATTTTTTGAATGCTTCCAGGAACGGTGACTCCACCATCTCCCTGGACAGAAGCTCATGTGCAATGCTGTAGCTGCCAGGGTTACATCTCTCTGCCTTTGCATTTATTTTTTTGCCCATGGAATATGTTACATCGGTGGTTCTCCAGCTTTCGCATGTTGCAGACCACTTCCTAAGGGAGAATTTCTCTCCTGGACCAACCCACTCCCACACCAAACCCTTCTCTCCAACATATTTCCTTCTGCGGCTGCCCAAGGAAGAGCCTTCCTGCCCACAGGCTGAGGGCCACTGAACACATGGCACAGATAGCATCAGACACTTCCAGATGGGCCACAGTGGGGCTCTTTCAAAAATGGTGTTTCCCTCAATGAAGAGCTCAGATTGAAAGCCTTCAGCTGGCAGCATGGTTGCAGAACAGACTTCAACAGTCGCTCCCATGAAATAACAGCAGAACCAAAGAAGTCCAGAGGAATATATTGGAGTTTCCATCATGTTACTCACTTCAGCAGAACTTCACACTCACCTATCATCCATGTCAGATGGGTGGTCTGAGTGAATCTAAATATGTTTTTTAAAAAAATAATCAGAAGCCAGCCTTACACTTTGCACTTTTTATTTTTTATTTTTATTTTTTTTTTAAACAGTACCAGCCTGATGTTGCTTTTAGAAGTTCTGTACACAGAGATACACAGACTCTGCTTGTCTACATGTGCCTCATGCTCCCACAAAATAAACACAGCAATTCTCAGACAGGTCATTTCATAGTTGCCTTTGACTTCTGCTGTTTTAAGGCCTTCAAAGGGGAATTTTATATCTGATTTGCCATATTTATTTCACTATTATCAATAACATTTTCTAATGCTTTAATCTCTAGATTTAACACAGTTACCTTTGGGATGGATATGATGCAGATGAGAGCCCAGTTTGCATTTTTGTTTCCTGTAAAGTAATTCTTGCACTTCACCTTGTTCCTTGATCCTGACTGATCATCACAGACACTTTGTTAGGAACTGTTTTTTGGACCCAAAGGAGCTCAGCAAGGAGAAAATGAGGAGCAGGTTGATGGAAGGAAAATCCCTGGTGAATTTTGAAGCATTCACTGGAACAACATAATTTGATGTATTCTGCAAGCATGAGTCCTGGTAAAAAGTTAAAAAATAAAAATAAAAAAAAATGCTGGAAAGTACCACTTGGTTCGTGTGCTGGAGATATTTCAGACTCAAGTGAAAAAGAAATCAGAGTGAATGTTCTCTTTGACCGTTTGTGGAAGCATTTTGCAGTCAGTGAGGTGTAAAAGAAAACCTTTTTGAAAGTGATTTTATTTTAGGAGCTGCTTTTTCTTCTTGCAAATCATGAGAACATGTATTCTTGGTGGAATAAATAACAGAAAATTCATCTTTTAAGAATTATACAAAAGAATTTGAGAAATAATGAAGCTCATTATTTATTGAAGTGGAAGAAACCAAGAAAAAAGATGCCCTCTAGTGGCTATTTGCCGAATTTAAACTGAGAAAGTTAATCGAATTTCAGTGCAGGGAGTACAGAATGAACGTGGCTTCTTGTTCTATCACCAAGGCTGTACAACAGGGTTACCCAAGGTCATGCCATGAACACGGGCAGAGGAAACATTCGCCGTCTGCACAGTGTCATTTTAAATAATTGGTTATGGCAGTGCATTTTAAGCCGCTGTTCAGAAAATCTCAAGTGTAGGTAAGTACAGCTTTACTGGGAGTCATTAAAAGAAAATTTACCTTTCTCACAGCATCAGTGCTGTCTTTCTGAGTGACCTTTTTTGATCAGAGCTGTGTTTGCCCCTCACAGGGTTTTAGAAGCACCCCACACATTACAGGAATTTCTGCCAAATTTACAAAAATTGGCTGAAGTTTTAATAGGAGGCATTCTTTTCAACACCGTGAAGATGTGATGAATATAGGGAGGGTGATGATGATGACTTTGTTTTTCCTGCAGAAGGGAAACTGTTGGGTGAAGATGTAATCAGCACATTCTTACAAAGTTGAAAAATCTGTTATCTCCTTTTTTTTTTTTTTTTTTTTTTTTTTTTTACAGCCTATTTGATTCTCCCCTAAAACCAAAGTCCACACCAAATGCCTTGGGCAACTGTTCAGATTTCCTGTAAGGCTGAGTAGCTCATAAAAGAGCAAAAGTTGAACATCAGATATCTGCCTTCTTTTTCCTCCCACAAGCATGAATCAAATGACCAAACAGATCTTTAGCAAACAAATAAAACTGTGAAGAGAGGTAAGTTGATTTTGTTACTTTCTATTCACTTACTTTTCTGCTTGATCTTAGGTCTGAACACTGTCCAGTTACAGCCATGCCAAGCTGGCATACTGCAGAGAAAAATATTTTCATCTAAGATAAATTGCCAAGGCAGATAGCTCGTCTCTTAGTGAAGGTTACAGTAGAAAAATAATGCAACAACAAGTTGCCGCACTGTAGGCATTTATTTTTATGCTGAATACCATTAATCCTTCTGCAAATAGTGACAGAAATGTGCATGGCCTGACGAGTGCTTTCAGCTCAAGCAGCAGAGATGAAAGTACCAAACATGGAGCAGCTTCTTCACTTGGCCTGTTCCTTACCCAGATTATGAATTTATGTAGTGAAAGAGCTGCTTCATATGAAGGTCAACTTGTGCAAATAGAGAAGCCTCTGGAAGGAAGGGTTGGTGGCGGGGCAATCAGGTGAGGGTGGAAACTACTTCTTCCACTCAGGTTCAGGTGCCTAAATTTGTGACTCAGCCACCAGACCTTTGAGAAGGACAGAGCCAGTGAACACCTCCATCTGTTCTTTGGGCATTTTGTCAGACTGGGTCCAACACTTGCAACCCAGTCAAATTCAGACTCCATGTGTGAAAATGTCCAAGAATCTGCATTAGCAGTCTTTGAAGATAGCAGACACATCTCCACTGACAACAGTGGATCCTGTACCCACTGATGGAGGAGCACGTAAAGTTTATATAGAGAGAGAATAAAGTTACTAAAAGCTAAGGGTTTTGAAGAGAATTAATAAGAAGCAGAATAGTATTAGCAAGGTGCTGAATTACCACCTTACATTTTGTCAGAAAGTAAAGGCTGTTTTTCTTCTTTTTTTGCAACTCAGAATTTTGTCTTATCTGAACAGGATTAGTCAGAGCTTGTTTGTTGGCCTGTGCTTGTTCATCTAGGCTGACTGCTGTGGGAACCGTAGAGAAAGACCAGGCTCCCAGCACACTCCTCTCAGGGTTTGGGAGGAGGATAATGTGTTTGTTTTTTTTAACGTTGGTAAAAATAATGCATCACCTGCATAGGACTCCACATAAATTTCAGGTCTTCTCCCGGGCCTTAAAGCCGGAGTCAAGATATGCTCCATTTCTTTCTTTTTAATATAGATTTGGTCGAGCCTCGGTATTGTAAACTGATTTGTTCCTAGCACCATTTATTTTAAAATATTTTTTTTCTTTTTCTTTTTTTTCTGTACGCAGGTCATCACAGAAAACCATCTGAAAAGCAACATCTTTATTATGTCAGGTTGTAAAGTGACTAAACATGCCAACCTGTACAAGCAGAGCAGTGCTTCTGTAAACTCCTTACCACCCCCATTCTATTTTTGTTGTTGTTTGTTTGTTTGTTTTCACCTGGTCATCTCAAGTTCTGCCTCCAAAGCAGAAGAAGCAGTCAGAGCAGAGAGGTCAAGCCTAAACAGTTCTGGGAAGAAGCTCAGCAGGCAGGATAGGCTGTATCAGGAGAAATCCTAGTTGAAGTAAGAATGGATGAAGGAAGGCATCTCTGAGCCCTACAGTTTCCAAATGAGAGTAGATCTCACCTGGTTTGTTGCTATAAGATGTAAAAGATAATCCAGATTCACTGAGTTGTTGTACCAAAAATGAAAGAGGCAAAGGGAAATGGTTATTAAAGGTGTAGAGACAAGTCTAAGATGGCACATAAAAGCAAAAAAAAACTTCCTTAAATATTAGGTAAAATCAGCATATCCTGCTTTGTCTTGCTGCCGAGTTATTGGCTAATTATCAAAATTTAGTCACAGAGTATCTGTTTTTGAATTACTGAACATGTTGAAACTCCATTGGAGTTCACTGTATTTAACTTAGCTCGGCAGATCAAGGTAGAAATTTAATAATGTCACATCAGAGGTACCTTCATCTCAGTGTTTAGTCTCTGTTGGCCAAAGATCTGCAGCCATCTTCATCAACTGCAGTCCAAGATTTGCTGTACAGTGCAGGTGAGATCTGGCTCAAATATGGTGGGAAGAATAAAAATCTTGTCTACAGATCATGGCTGGGATCTAGTTTCTGCAA